TTCCACTTCGTCGCCAATGAACTCACCGCCGTTGTCAGACCGCATGGTCTTAAGCTTGGCGCCCGATTGCCGCTCGAGCCATGGTAGGTACTCCTTCATGGCGGCGAACGTGTCGCTCTTCTTGCGGAGGAACTTGACCCAGACGTAGTTCGTGGCGTCCTCCGTGAAGGATACAAAATACTTGGCGCCGTTGGGTGACTCGACCTTTGCTGGTCCCCAGAGATCTGTGTGAACGCACGTGCCGAGCTTGTGTCGCGGGCGATCACCTTCCTTGGGCGGCGACGTGTGTGTTTTCTTGCCGCGGATGCAGCCTTCGCACGACAGGCTGTCCGGTAACCTTAGGTTGGTAGGTCCTCCATTCGTGGCCTTGATCATTGCTGACATCGAGTTCCAGGGGACATGGCCGCAGCGTGCATGCCACAGCATCGGTTCGGCGACCTCGGCTGAGTTCGCTTGGTCTGCCGCTGGCCTTGGCTTGATGACGTCCCCGTGCACCGCGTACAAGCGCGCCGCGTTCCACTTGCCGACGATCGACAGGTGTGTCCTCGATCGGATGTTGCAGTAATCTTTCTTGAATAGAATGGACGCGGCATCTGCGCTGTCGGTGATCCGGCTGATGGAGATGAGCGTCTTGGTCAGGCTCGGGACGAGCAGTACGTTGCGAAAGACAACTGTACGTCCCGTGTCCCTCGATTTCATTCTCACGTTCCCCATCGTAGTGACAGAGATCGGGTGGCCGTCGGCGAGTCGGACGCCGCGCTTGCACGCGATCGCATCGTGGAGGATGGTTTCGTCCCCCGTCATGTGGCACGTGGCACCGCTGTCCACAATCACTTCGGCTTTGGATGAGAGGACGTTGTTGCATTCATCGTCATCATCCCTCAGCATTGTTGCATAGTTGGCTAGGTCGGCCGTCACTTCGTCGATCTCATCTTCGAGTTCCATTGGACCACCGCTTTTGTCTCCGTCCGTCTCGTGACGGTAGGTTTTCATGTCGCCATTGGCTTGATCGATGCTTATCTCTTGGACCATAAATAGGTCTTCGTCGTCGTCATCCTTGACGTAGTTGCTGTCGTCATGTCGCCCCCATCCGCTACGGCCGCGCCCTCGGCCTCGCCCGCGTCCACGGCCGCCGCCACGGCCGCCGTCGACGCGGCCGCCGTTTGTCCTTGGGGGTTGGCGCACGTTTTGGCGATAAATTCCTTTCTCTCTGTCGGCAGAACGTCGGCGGCAGTCTGCCTTGTAGTGGCCGGTCTTTCCGCAGTAATGGCAGTCGTCCGGGCCGACGTTGAGGGCGTCGTCCATTGTATTCGCTCGCTTGGCCAAGTTAGGGTCGTGTAGCTTTTGACGCTCGTCGTCTAATTTAAGCTCGGCAAGAATCGGCGGCATCGAGTCGTATGCCGTGGTGGTACGTCGCTCGCGTGTGATGTACATTACTGTGTTGGCAAATCTCGGTGGTAGGAGACACAGGAAACGGTTCAAGTGCGCCTTGTCCGCCGTCGTGTCACCGGCCGCCGAGAGCTTGCGCATGAACTCTTGGAACTGGTCGGCGAACGCTTCCAGCCCCGTGCGCTCACTCCATTCCAGCTTGCTCATTTGAAGTTGGAGGGTGACGAGGTTGACCTCGGACGCGCTTTCGTAGATGGCCTTGAGAGATTCCCATGTCTCATGGGTTGTGGCCGTGTCCTTGACGAATTTGAGATGGTCCGCGTGTATGCTTAGTTGAATGTAGGATAAAGCAACTAGGTCGTCTTCTTCATTTGACCCATTCGGGTATGTTCCGTCTGCTAAGCGGACCTTCTTGAGGTACTTACCCAGCTTTTGCTGGTTGATCTTGGCGCGCGTCTTGACGCACCATTCACGGTAGTTGCTACCGTCGGGCTTGAGCCTGGTCGTTGAGTCGGAGAGGTACTTTTCGGCCATTGGGCTCATAACCTGTTGACTTCCTCCAGGTTATGTGTGTGACGAACTCAAAGGTTTGGAGCGCTTTCTCTCTTGGCTCTTACTTTGGAAGTGATTAACCTACGTGTCCATGCGATCTTCCTGCGATCTTTCCGGTAGTGCTAACCGGTTTTTGTCTTCCGAATGTATGTAACATGTAACCGCCTC